ACGCCTCCACCATCCTCTGCTTCCTCTGAGGACTGAGGGAGTGACTCTTAAATCTTTTATGCAATTCTCAAGTCTAGGTTATGATTGTTATCTTGATAGAGCAAACCATTAAGATGATCTGCAGAGGGTGCACATGATTAGAAATCACAAGTTAAGTTGTATTTTAAATTCTGTATTACGCTATCTATAGATTGTACCACACTGATTCTGCTTGCAGAAACCCTGTGCCATTCTAATCATAAATTCTGTGCCACATTAATCATAATTTCCTGTTAAGAAAGTAAAGCTTAAATTTTAACTATGATTTAGTGCTGTCATCATTCTGCCAAAGATCCCTAAAATAAATCGTCTGTCCCCTCAGTGCCAGGTGACTGCATGGAAAGAGAGTAATTTGCTTACGTTTTTCTGTAGTGCTTTCTGTGTTAAAAAAGAATCTTCTCTTCTCTTCAGGCCAGTTCAGTCTTTCCTCCAAATGCTCTGTTAAGTTGAGGTAGGCTTCATCTAGGCCCATAGGCATAAAATTGGGATCATATTCCATCAGTATTTCTCTAACCTTGATAAACACATAGTGAAAGTTTAAAGCTTTGTTGCTGTAAGAGCAGATTGACACACAATTATGAGGTGAACAAATGCACTCCGAAACTTCAAGATGACCAGTCAATATTAAAGATACTTATAGTACAAATTATTTATTGATATTGAAAAATTATAGTACTGCTTCTCAGAAGTAGCCAGATATCAATAATAAGTGAGAATTAAACAGATGTTGAGCACTGTATTTTACTGCAGACACCATTAAGATCAGTGTATAAGGACTCCACAGGCACCAGGTTCACAGACACTGCAGTAACCATCTGAATAAAACTTTGGGGACCTGAAAACTCAGCACAGCACATGAGCTGATGCACCTTTCTATGCACTGTGTGTCAAACATCACATATGCAAAGGTTAAAAAAAGAAATCTAAGTTTTAAATTACATTCAACTGAAGTTATAGTCCATGTTTTAGAAGACTGGTTAATGCCACAGGCAAAACTTGTTAGAAAGACCTTTAGTGAAAAGTGCATCTTCCCAAAAGGCAACATAATAAATTAAATGGTCAACCCAAAATCTCTACCTTTTCTCCTCTTTTTTCCTCTCTCTTTTTATTTTAAACAAGGAGGAAAATTTGACTGTATCATGTTTTCTCTATCAGTTTTGGACAAATTCTTAGGTAGCACAACATCTGTCCACATGCATTTCCTCTTTCAGAAACTGGTTAAAAATAGGATTCACTGCTCAACTTTCAACTACAAAATTAAATTAAATATTGTCAATCCAAATCCCAAGAGAAAAACATAACTAAAAACCAAAATCAACCTGAACCTTTAGTATTTTACCCCAACAGACAACAACTGCAATACATATAATGAAATCCAAGATCCTTAACATGTTCAGACTCATTCTGAAATACCCATATTTGTACATGCTTTTTTATGACAGAAGTGAGAAAAATCAAACGAGATCAAAATTAGCAACTAGCTTACTTTATTTATGTGCAGAGAGTGAGGCTAAATAAATAAATAAATTTTGGTATAACCTTATTGAAGTGAGGAGACTTGTGCCATGCACTAGCTTAATTTAAGACCTAAAAAAGATTTTTCTTTTATTTCTTTCTTTTTCCTTTTTTTTTTAAATGCAATTTTGGCTATCCTAACTATTTCTCCTGGCACGAAATGAAATTACTTTTGTTAAAGCAAAATGTGATTTCTTTTCTCCCTAATTTTTTTGCTCTTTATTTCAAGTCCCTTCTTGTAAAACAAATGAGTCTGCATTTAGAACTCACTAATGCTCTTTGCTTTTCTCTCCAATAATTAGCATTCCAAATTATGATTATGTGCTGTATTAAAGTATTAGCTCCATGTTTCCTATATACTTGCAGCTTCCGAGTAATTATATCATGCTCCACGGTTTTGAAGCTTTAAGAACAACAAGGCTCAAGTGGTATCACTAGCTCACCACACAGTTTTTAAAATCTCTATCAGCATCAGCACTTCATTAAAATGGCAAGATGGGTGAATGCAATGCTTTTTCATCTCGTTGCCCAAAAGCACCGATGTTTTGTTTAACTTATGTTCAAAGACACATTACTGAAGAGCTTTAAAATATTTAAACTACCACTTTTCATATTCTCTAGAACTCATGTATTGACAGTCTAAAACCAAGCACACTGACTTTTGGTTAGAGAGCACTTTCAGACTTACCTCTTTACTCACTTTGCCATATTTTTCAAAGTTTAATGGTACAATAGTTAGATGTGGACATAATTTCTTAGCAATAAATCCAGGCATGGCTGCACGTACACCAAATCTCCTAGCGTGGTAATTTGAGGTGGACTTAGGAGAGATTAAATAAATTTAGTATTCAGTAATCAAGTTTTTCTTGAAGTTCAGTGTTAAATTATCAAGTTCTAATCACTTATCTCAACACAGAAAAGACTGACAAGGCTGAGAGTTTATACGCATTCCTCCCCCCGCCCCACCTTTCAACCTGTTTATATCCTTTAAACTTTCATCAGTACACTTTTTACTGAAAAATAAAATCCAGCTTACATGGTCTAGTGTAAGAACAGATGCTTCCTCTATTATTGTTGTTATTTTTTCCACACTTATAAAAATTCTCCATATAACAGTATCATCATATTATGTTATTTACTGTATGGTTTATTAGGCTTTAGATTCAAGTAATTGATTTCTGTATTAGCTTGACATTCAGCCTTACCAACATACTCATTGATCCCACTGCTATAGGCTTTTCCTTCAGCTCTGGATTGTCTCTCATTTCCACAGCTGCATAGAAGGCATCCATGTCAATGTGTACAATTGTATTGCTAAGGTTACGGCTCTGTTCCAGTTCTAGCACAAGTTTGTCCACCTGAACATAATAAACCAATAACTGAAAAACTACTAACCAGGCAGAAGTGCAACAGTACAGATGATTCTAAGAACTCAACTGCATCTGGCATACAGTTAAAAAAAACCCAAACAAACAAACCCAAACCCCACCAAACCAGGACCAATAAAAAAAAAAAACAAAACCCAAACAAGCTTCTGATTAAGCTTTCTCACAGAGAGAACATTGCTGCAGCAAACGGTACAAAAAAATCCCCAAAACGCAATGAAAAAAACCCCAACCCAACAAAGAACAAAAACCCACCTATGTGGGAAAAAAAAGATACATCATCTGATTTAGACAGAAAGTCGAACGTGCAGCTTTAGCCACTGTGATACAAGTTATTTAAAAAAACTGAAAACATGCTATTAGAGAATTTCCAACATTCCTAAACTAAGCTATCACACTTCAGAAAATTGGCCTAGATGGGTGAAGAGAAGACCAACTGCTCACAGGGCAGATCCATCTATCCTGTCTCGTCAGAAATAAGATCTCAGACAGGTTCACTTAGAATCATAGAACCACTGAGGTTGGAAAAGACCTCAAGGATCATCAAGTCCAACCGTCAACCCACATCACCTAACTCACTAAACCATGTCCCTAAGCCCCACATCTACACGTTTCTTGAACACCTCCAGGGATGGTGACTCCACCACTTCCCTGGGCAGCCTGTTCCAATGCCTGATCACTCTTTCAGTGAAGACATTTTTTCTAATATCTAGCCTAAACCTGCCCTGGCACAACTTGAGGCCGTTTCCTCTTGTCCTATCACTTGTTACTTTAGAGAAGAGCCCACCTCACTGCAACCTCCGTTTAGGTAGTTGTAGAGAGCAATCAGGTCTCCTCTCAGCCTCCACTTCTCTAGACTAAACAACCCCAGATGGAATCACAGAATCATTAAGGTGGAAAAGACCTCAAGGATCATCAAGTCCAAGCAACTTACTGATAAATAAGCTACTGTTAATCCCATCGTAAGATTCCTCAGCATTTATTACAGAAATACATATCGTATAAGGCTGGATTGCTAACTAAACTGCAAGGTGACTTTTAAAGAAAAGCCCATACACAGAGAGTTTGTTTCACTCCAAGAGTTAAAGAAATATCATCTACTAGCAGGCTGTGAGTAGTACTCCTGCTTCATCAGCTCCATGTGAGGCAGAAGTACACAGACCTCTCCACTAAATACTCTAATTGTACTTCATTTGCTTGCATCCTTTTACCAAAAGACTTGCAGATCATGCTTGTTTCCAAAATACCTTTCAGCTGTGAATGAGGTATGAACTGTGAGTGTCACCAGGAAACACGCATGCATTATCTGACAGGTGATCTTTAAGGTCTGAAGACCTTAAAGACCAGTACCAGCATAACTAATGCTAACCTCTATTTACAGAACAGAAGGTTGCTACTGCTAGAAAGAAACAACAAATAGGCATAATAGAGATCAAAAAATGCAAGCAGTGAAAAGGAATCCAAAGTTTTGCTTTGCTTGCAAGCACAAGGACACAGACACACTTCAAAGCACCATTACAGAAATGTCTCCGGATTGACTGCAGTCAGTTTATGGTACTGGAGAGGAATTTTTACACACAGTTTGCATGGTTACTTGAAGATCTCTCTTTCTTCCCCTTGACAGAGCTGCTTAACAAAAAATATAAAAACCTTATCCAAAACCCCATCTTTGGAGCTGTGGCTCCAAGGCAAGTGGCTATGAATGTTCTAACTGAATTGACGAGTAATGATTTACAAACTCTTTTCCCTGTTTTGTTCCAAGTTGATTTGAGGGAAGAAAGGCTAAAATAGGGCCTCAAACTAGGCTATTCCATACAGAAGAGCCCAGCATGCTCCCTAAGGCCAAGAAAACTAGTTTAGACAAACTAAAAGCACAAAGGGAAGGCCATTCAAACAAAACAAAACAAAACAAAAAAAGTGGGGAAATTAGCATTCTTTTCACTATGCTACTAATTCAGCAAAGGTTCAAATCATACCATAATATTGAAAAGCATCCCTATTCTTAACTATATTTTACAGATAATTTTCAAGTTACTCTTAAACTCAAATTGCTTAGTTAATTAACACTGTCAATTGCTCTTCTGGTTATGTTATTTCAATTTGTCACATTTATAACAAACTTCTTTTTGCTTTTTCTCCCCAAATCTATTTCTATCTTACTGATCAGCATATGCATCTAAGGAATTAAGTAAAACTACATTAATCAGAGATACAAAAAGATAACTCTTCAGCAAAAGTGACTGATACAAATTGTATGCTAGAACAACACACACCCAGACATCCTCAGAGAATACTGGGCACCTACAAATGCTTCTTTAGTAAGATAAGGAAAGTTATGGAATAGCTCCTAGAAGCAAGCCAAGTTGACACGTTTTTAAAAGCTGCTTTCAATTTTCCCTTGAAGATAAAAAGAGATACTAAGTTTTTTTATTTCTAAACTAGACAAAAACACCCTGAAGAGTACATATATATGAGGGCAAGCAGTGCATGGGCGCCACCCACAACACACTGCAGCTGCAGAAGAGGTAGCTTGTGTGGCGGGATGCTGAAGTTCTGCCAGGTCCAGAAGTGAGGGGCTCTCATTCTGACTGGCCCTCGAGGCAGAAGGGTAAGCACTCAACACCAAGCTAAGGCTGCAGCTCTGGCAGGGGTGTGTGCACCACCCACACTGGAGCTGACCAATGCCTCCACCCAGACGGAGGTGTTGAAGGGAGAGGTGGCTGTGCAGACGCTGGTCTGTGGGATATGCTCAGGCCTTTCTCCTGGAGTAGAGGTGGGTGGCAAACCAAACTGCACAAGGTGCGGCCAGGTGGAGGACCTCCTGCAACAGGTGGCTGAGCTGCAGGAGATGGTCAAGAGGCTGTGTGGTATCAAGGAGGCAGAAATGGAGATAGACACCCAGTTTCAAGTGCAGCCTGTGCTGAACTTGCAGCCTGTGGCCAAACAGCCCCACACTCCTCTACCAGCACACCTGGCTAAAGCAGAAGGCAGTGGGGGTGAGAAATGGCAAGCTACCGGAACAAAGATCAACAGGAGGAAGACAACTCCCTCAAAGACTCAGGTGTCACTGCAGAACCACTTCATGGCTCTGCAGGCAGTGGAGGAAAAAGAATCTGTTGCAGGTATGCCCTCAGAGGAGAGTAAGGCAGCCAGACCAGCTCCCCACTGCATAGCAACTTCTGCAACTAAGAAAAAGTGATGGGTGACAGTGGTGGGTAACTCCGTTCTGAGGGGTACAGAGACAACCATCTGTCGTCCTGACCTGCTATCTAGAGAGGTCTGCTGCTTGCCAGGGGCTCACATCAGGGATGTGACAAAGAGGTTGCCAAACTTTGTACAACCTACCAACTACTATCTGCTGCTGCTGTTTCATGTAGGAACCAGTGGCGCAGCTGCAAGCAGCCTGAAGAATATAGAGAGGGATTACAAGGCATTGGGAGCAGCAGTGAAGGACTACAGGTAGTCTTTTCGTCAATCCTCCCGGTTAAAGGGAAGGGAAAGGAGGGACAAAATTGAGAAAATCAATACGTGGTTAAGCGAGTGGTGCCATGGGCAGGGCTTTGGCTATTTATACCACAGGACCCACTTTGAGAAATCTGGTCTTCTGGGGGCTGACCAGGTACACCTTCCAGAGAAGTGGAAGAGTGTATTTGGCAACAAGCTTTCCAACTTAGTCAGGAGGGCTTTAAACTAGAGTTGCAGGGGGAGGGGATCCTAAAGCCATCCCACTTTGAGGCCAATGACAGAAATAGATGTCCTGAGCCTGAAGCAGGATCACAGGCCAGGAAGAGAGCACCTCAAGTACAGGACAAGGGAACCCCAATTGGTAATCCAGCCACAATGGGGGCCCAACTTAAATGCCCGTACACTAACACAAGGAGCATGTGGAACAAGCAAGAAGAGTTCCAGACGTGCGTGTGTGTACAGGGCTATGATGTCACTGGCATCACTGAGACATGGTGGGATGGCTCTCTTGACTGGAGCATAGGACTAGATGGGCATAAACTCTTTAGGAAAGACAGGCAGGGGAGAAGGGGAGGGGGCATTGCCCTCTATGTCAGAGACCAGTTGGAGTGCCTGGAGCTCCACCTGGGGAAGGATAAGGAGCTGCCAGAGAGCTTATGGCTCAGGGTTGAACAGAAGGCAGGGGAAGGAGATGTTGTATTTGGGGTTTGCTACAGGCCACCTGACCAAGAAGACCGAGTGGATGAGGGCCTCTATAAACAGATAGAAGCAGCTTTGCGTTCACAAGCTATGGTCCTCATTGGGGACTTCAACCACCCCAATATCTGCGGGCAGGACAACACAGCAGGGCACCAGCAACGAAAGAGGTTCCTGGAATGCACTGATGACAACTTCCTCTTCCAAGTGGTACGGGAACCGGTGAGAAAAGGTGCTATGCTGGACCTTGTCCTTACCAACAAAGAGGGACTGGTCAGTAACATGAAGTTCAAGTGCAGCCTTGGCTGTAGCGACCATGAAATGGTTCAGCTCAAGATCCTTAGGGGGTCAAAGAGGGTGTACAGCACTCTGGACTTCAAGAGGGCAGACTTCGACCTCTTCAGGGACCTGCTTGGCAGAGTGTCATGGGACAAAGCCCTGGAGGGAAGAAGGACCAATAAAACTGGTCAGTATTCAAGGGCCATCTCCTGCAAGCAGAGGAGCAGTGCATCCCGAGAAAGAAGAAGGTGGGCAAGAATGCCAGGAGGCCTCAGTGGATGAACTAGGAGCTTCTGGACTTACTCCAGCAGAAAAATAAAATACATAGGGACTGGAAGCAAGAACAGGTTAGCTGAGAGGTGTACAAAGAGGCTGTCTGAGCAGCCAGGGATCAGGTTGGGAAAGCTAAAGCCCAGACAGATTAAATCAAGCCAGGGACATAAAGGGGAACAAGAAGAACTTCTACAAGTACATCAGTGACAAAATGAAGACAAGGGAAGATGTGGGCACTCTCCAGAAGGAAACTGGAGACCTGGCCACAAAGGATATGGAGAAGACTGAGGTGCTCAATGACTTGTTTGCCTCAGTCTTCACCAGCAAGGGCTCTGGACGCACCTCCCGAGTTGCAGGAAAGGAAGGTAAGAACTGGCAGAAGGAAGATCTGCCTACTGTAAGTGCAGATCAGGTTCGAGACCATCTAAAGAACCTGAAGATGCACAAGTCCATGGGTCCTAAAAATCTGGGGAAAAAACTAGCAAAGCCACTCTCCATCATATTTGAGAAGTTGTGTCAGTCTGGTGAAGTCCACTGACAGGAAAAGGGGAAACATAACCCCCATTTTCAAGAAGGGTAAAAAAGAAGACCCAGGAAACTACAGACCAGTCAGTCTCACCTCTGTGCCTGGCAAGATCATGGAGCAAATCCTCCTGAAGGCTCTACTAAGGCACACCAAAAATAGTAACCAGCATGGCTTCACCAAGGGTGAATTGTGTCTGACAAACCTGGTGGCCTTTTATGATGGAGTTACGGCATCAGTGGACAAAGGAAGAGCAACTGATGCCATCTACCTGGACTTCTGCAAAGAGTTTGACACCGTCCATATGACATCCTGGTGGCCAAATTGGAAAAATATGGATTTGATGGATGGATCACCCACTGGATAAGGAATTGGCTGCACGGTCACACTCAGAGAGCTGTGGTCAATGGCTCAATGTGCAAATGGAGACTGGTGATGAGTGGTGTTCCTCAGGGATCAGTACTGGGACCAGTGCTATTTAACATCTTTGTCAGAGACAAGGACAGCGGAATCGAGTGCACCCTCAGCAAGTTTGCCGACAATACCAAGCTCTGTGGTGCAGTCAACATGCTGGAGGGAAGGGATGCCATCCAGAGAGACCTGGACAGGCTTGAGAGATGGGACCATGCCAACCTCATGTAATTCAACAAAGCCAAATGCAAGGTCCTGTGCCTGGGTTCAGTGAAACAGAGCACTCTTACTGTTTTCAGTGTTCCATCCATTTTCACAAAGGGCACGGATGCATCCAACTTCAGCGATTTAATTGAGCTGATGCTTATGTGCCCAGAGTCAGTGGAGTGGAATAAGCCCTGCCAAAGGGTAAGGCTGACACTAGGTCTTTCTTCAGCAATTAGAGCAGAAGCACCAAACACACACTTGTTTCAGTTACATGTGGAAATAGATTCAACCCTGCAGGTGTTCAAGAAACGTGTAGATGTGGTGCTTAGGGACATGGTTTAGTGAGTTAGGTGGAGTGGGTTGACGGTTGGACTTGATGATCCTTGAGGTCTTTCACAACCTAGTGATTCTATGATTCTATAATATATTATTTAATTATATAACCATACACTAATTTATAGGACCTGTGTTATTCATGTCATTCATATTGTAAGCAAGACTGTTCTCTGTAAAATGAAAAATTCTGTGGTGAAGGAAGGATGGAAATGCAAGTATTTTTTAATCTTTAAATGCCTTAAAAGCTACTCCAGAAAATTAAAAAAAAAAAAAAAAGGACAAGCAGAGACATAACTGACCCATGTTAAAGATTAACTAAAAACAGTTGAGGCATACAGGTTTATAACAAACTTTTCAAAGGTACTCAATAATTGCAAACTTTTCTGGACACAAATTTGAGACACTGGCATCTAGCTTACAGAAGTGATTTGCAAATCTGCCATGAACAAAAAAGGATTGCACACCATAACTCAGGACCTGTAATCCTCACAATGGCATTCAAAATTAATGTGTGTGTTTAATCTCCATGTGCTTCAACTCCTCATCTACAAAAGTATCACTCTACTTTGCTGGAGCACTGCAAGAATAATTTAAAGAATTCAGTCTGTGTTGTGTACAACATAGAAAAGCCTATGAGGAAGTCTAATTTTGCATTCAAAACTGGTTTAAACTAGTGTACAACAACTAAAGCTTGGGGCCACCCATAGAACAATGAGGACAACAGTAAATATTGAACAATTGCCCACTCAGTGAACACTGTCTGCACTGTGCACTGAAGGAAGTAGGAGTCCTGTCAGGGAAAAATAGCAAGCAATCATGTAACTAAAAATTGAATCACAGCACAAATGAAAAAGGAAAGGAAGTAAGCTTCTACAAGCAACTTTAATTCTGTTGTGCCTAAGACTGTTCAGTGTGCAACCTTGGTGCTGTTGTTTTCTTTTAACAACCTTTGACACACAGTAATACTTTGGATACTATTACCTATCATTAGCTTTGAGAAGAGAAATAGCCTCTTCATCTTTCTAGTTCAGGCAACTTGTATTTCTTGTGACGGCTTGCCATGATGATTATTTCATTAATTAGCATAAATAAGGAATAAATTATATCCAGAAGAGTTGACAGCTGTGATCCCCTTCATCCTATTGCAGGTCATTGAAGACAAATGTACTTATATTATAAAAACAGAAAGTCAACTCAAGAATGATGTGATACTTACTAGCAAGATATTTAACAAAACTTCTACGTAAACCATGAAGACATCCCTTCTAACAGGAATTACTTTGCTTCATTTTACTAATTTAGAGAACATTTTGTAGTGATTTTACAATCTATTCTCCTAGCAAGTTTTTATTAAGATTACATCACCAAAACATTTTGCACTTTTACTTGCACAAGTAACATCAAAATGGTAGTTAACATTGTGCTTATCACCAGAATTTAATGCAATACACTAGAAAACACAAAAATGTTTATCATTCACCATTTACTCTGAAAAGTCTTTACAAGATTAGTACCTGCAGCTGTGCTTTCAAAAGCTGTTGTGTTGTGATTTTCTCTTTTAGCTGCATAATTTTTTCAATTCGTTGGTTAACTTGTTGATCTTTTTTAAGTTCATTTTCATAAAATCTAGAACCCTGGAAGAAAATTGAAAAAAAAATGAGGTTTTTATTTGTCTTTTCCTATAGACAACCACATTCGATCTTTAAATAAAGAGAACGTAAAATAATGGTTTCTTACGTGGATTTTCAAATAAATGATACACAAAAGAGACCAATGGTGCTTTACTTGTCTCTTCTCAAATGACACAAATATATTTCTCCTTCTCAGGTCCTCTATACTCAGATGAGTAAAAGGGACTATTTAGAGAACTTACTATGTTTACTTGTTCTAACACTTGAAAACAAGAATTGCAAAATAGTAAACAAAAGTCAAACTGTTCTTTGCAATACCTCCAAGATAAGGAGTGTAAACCTCTAAAAAATTGATTTAAGCATTTTGCGAGACTTTCATATAGTTTAATCTACCTGCAAAGAAACAATGACACTGTAAAAGTCAAATCCACTTACAATGTTGAGTATTTCACTGACTACTTAATCTTGCAGGACATGACATTAGAAGCTATTTGGAAGATGATGATGAAAAGCAAATGGGTATAAAAAAGCCCCCTTGCTCTCAAGTAGGTAATTGCTCCTTCAAGAAAAGGAAGGGATAAAAGGAAGGAGATGTAATCAAAACATAAAAAGACAACAATCATATAGAGAACTTATAATGTTACTTCTCTTCCTGACTCATAACAAAGAAAAGAGGGCATACAATAAAACAGAAAAGATGAAAATTCAAAACCAGGAAATAAAATATTTTTCTTGCAACATTGTTGTGATTTTATGCAGCGGGTTTGTTTGGTGGCAGGGAGGGGCCACAGTAATGGCACCTGTAAGTAACTGCTAAAGGTTTCCCCTGACTCCAAGTCTGCTGGTAGCAAGGGATGGGCTACAGCGGTGGCTCCTGTAAGTGACTGCTAAGAGCTCACACCCATCCCCGGCTCCAAGACTTTAGCAGCCACAGGGTGGGGGAAGGAGTACCACTGACCTAGCCCCTGTGAGAAACTGCTGGAAGTTTCCCCAGCTCCAAGCTGGACCCACCCCTGGCTAGGGCTTGGACAATCCGTGCCTCTGCAAATAACATATTTAAGAAGGGGCACAGAAAATGGGGGTTGGTGCGGCCCCAGGCAGGGCAGGGCCCGGACCAGCCTGGGCGGACTGGCCCAGCCATCCAGCTGCCTGCCAGGCTTCTCTTGTAAGCCGACCTGCTGTAGCCCAAGCCTCTACCATGGCTCGCCCAAGAGTCAGTTTTCTCAGGAGACAATGAAATATCCTGTGGAGGAGAGAGAAGCGGATCTGAGAGAGACAACTACGCAAACACGCTGGTCAAGTGAAGAGAAACAAGAGGAAGGAGGCACCCCGGAAAACAGAGATGCCCCAACTGAAGGACTCTCCTGTAAGAAGGGACCTCATGCTGCCGCAGGGAAAAACTGTGAGGAGCCCTCCTCTGAGGAGGAAGAAGCGGCAGACTGACGGCAACCCCTATTCCCTGCCCCCCTGTGCTGCTGGGGGCGGTGAGAAAGGTACAGAAAAAACAAAGCCTTTGGGCCTGGGAAGAAGGGAGGGCTGGGGGACAAGTGCCCTTCTAAGATGTAGTTCTCTCTCTCGTTATCTTGCTTCTTGTTTTTGATTGTAAATAGTTAATAAATTCAGTTGTGGTTTTTTTTTGTTTTCTCACGTCATGTAGGTTTCTTGCCTGTGACCATCAATGGTGAGTGAAACCCTCCCTGTCCTGCTTCAGCCTGTGAGGTGTTTAACAATAGGCCGTCTAGTGGTTTTCTTCTAAACTACGACAAACATCTGCTTAGCTTACAAGAGAAATAACATTTGCAGGAAGAGGTAATGTTTTTTATTGAACCACCTGATAAAATCTGCAAAAGTGGACAAATTTTTATCTCAAAGCCTCTGACTACCAAACTGTCACTGATGCCAAGAATTCAGACACAAACAAGAATCAGGCATTCATATAAAAAGCAAAAATATACACCGTTATAATAATTATAAAAAATATGAATGGCAAGACTGTGATGTCTCATGTCTCACTGCTTAGAAGAAATCCCTAATTAGAAGAAATTAGGGTATGTTTTCTTTCAGTATCAGAAACACATTTCATCTATTCTCCCCTGTGCCATCAAACATGACTTGTTGAGACTCATTGAAAGAAATAAGTATCAAAATGTTGGTGTGGGAAGCAACCTAATACTTGTGATTTTTACTAAGCTGTGGGGTTTTTTTACATCTCTTGAAGTACTTCATAGTTGAAATGTTACAAAATCTCACTGTAATACAATTGTGGATAGCATTTGTAGGTGTAATTTGAAAGACTAAGGAAAAGCTTAAGAAAAAGAATCAGTGCTTCTTTTCAGATTTCTTGAGCTATATCTAGTGTTTATAGTCTCTTGCTTTTTTGACAGAAACATGTCCTTATACATAAATGCCTGTATATCAGTTTTGAAAGCCTATTTTACAGTTCATTCTATTTCATACCAGGAAATGAAACAGTAACTGTTCTGAAGAATGAATTTATCCAAATATCCTTATTAGGGATATGACTGACAATGCACCAAGTTTTCAAGAAAGGGTAAACAGAATAAGTCGAAGAGACATCTAATCAATAAGGGATTTGAAAAGATATGACATATCATCAAAGTGAAAATTAAAGCAAAAAAAAAAAATTGCCAAGTAAGAGCTGTTTGTAGTATGTTTTCTGCTTCCTCCTTCCTCACCCCTGCAGTTTACCACAGAGCAATAGCAGTCAATACAGAATTCATCAGCAAAATGTCAAGCACATAACATAGGGCCATAGTGACACCAACTGAAATACACATTCATGCAATGAAAAGTAAGAAATACCAGAGCTGCTCAAACAAGGTGTTAGCCCTATACAGTACACTGTGAAGACTTTCCAATAACAAGTAAGAGGACTAATATTTCAATGTTTTGTAGATTTGTGGGGTCCTCTGTAGATCTTTGTTACAAAGTTGCATGCTACTGGACACTTCTCTTACACACTCAGAAGATGGTCAAGAACACAAATTCTACTGAAGTACTAGAAAAACCTGATTACATCAAATTCATCAGTTACAAGAAGGTGACCAAAAGAGGCAGATCTGCTTGGCTGATTGGGTGGGCAAAAGGAACAGAAATTGGGAAAACAAGAGGCCTAAGGAAGCTGAAACTTTCACAATTACCTCTGGACACTGCTGTGATACTTATGCACTGCTTTGGGAAAAAAGCGAGCGCCTAAGGACATACTCAGTTGTGTTCTTCCATGTCGCTGAGGATAAACCCAACAGTACCCTATGGTACCCTAAACTACAGTCCCTCCCCTTCCTCCACACACATGCACTTCCTCTTAGAAGTTGCCCTCCATTTAAATATCTGAGGGATAAAATTTGGGGAAGGAAGGAAGAGGGCCTTATGATATTGGACAACAGACACAGCACCAGGAAAAGAGTAATCAAACCAACCTTGGTAGCTTCCATGATGATTTTATTGATTTTCTCCTTATCCAAACCTTGCATTCCAGCTTTGTTATCATTGAGGCCCATTCTAAGTAGAACTCCATCATTGCAAGTGCTGTTACCAACTTTTTTCATGTTGTCCATTGTACTTTTGAAAACAAGTACCTCTTTTAAGACTTAATACCTGAAAAAAAAAAAGAATTTAAATCATATTTGTTTCTAAGTTCCATTAATGGAATTCATTTGGTGTATTTATTTAGTAAGCATTTTATACTTACTCAGAAAACAACATACTTGTCACAAATCTTGTATTCCTGTAAAGTGGCTGACCTGCCACACTCATCCCATAAAACCACCTGTAACTCTATCAGTGTTTGCAGACAGTAAGATTTTACTTTTTACTGACTTAAAAACATATTCTTTTAAAAGCTCCCTTAAAGAAATAATTGAGCACCACCAACTTCAGTAAAGGCTAGTACCTTTCACCTGCTCCTGAGATTTATGCCTGTATGTTATCCTGGCACATTAAACAATACAGCCTTAAACATGAAATACTGCTCACTAGATTATTATAGAAAATAAATGGAATTATTCTTAAATTGCAGAAGGCCACTGTTCATTTAGTCCTACTTTCTGCTTGAGACAATCCATAGAATCTTTCCCAGTAACTTCTAGCTCAAATTAAAAACTTTTTTTTTTTTTTTTTTTTGGTATTAAATCTCTTTTAGAAACAGATTGCTTCAATTAGAAGTTTTGAATAAAACCCTATTGTTCAACTCAGGGTAAAATTCATGCAGTCTTTTTTCCTATTAATTGCAGAGCCATAGTATTCAACTAATAGAACCTACTAAGACTTTACTACTCAATTAGTGCCATCAGTAACTTCTTACACATTCAGGAACCTTTGATTTGTGAACTTCTGACATCTTCCCTTGTTCCTTATGAAAGTAAGTAGCTGAATCCTTCTATGGGCTCTAATTATATGGTAAATTATCTAGTTATTAAATTGATCTTGGAAACTCAAGAAAACAAATTTTATCCTCTGTAGCACGAACCTGTGGTCTTTTTTTTTTTTTTTTTTAACCAGATTAAAACAAGCAGAATCCAAGTGTGATACTGGCATAAATAACTTAACATGTATTTATTACTGGAAAAGCATACAGAAAGGATTTCTTCCTACCCCAAGTTACTGACTCATAAACCACGTAAGGTTTACTCTCATGCAGGAAGCACATTCACTCCTAAACTTCCCCTTTAAGCTGCACCCTGTGACAGGAGCCCTTCCCGTTCAGAGGAGCCACACCCTTCCAAGCACACACAGCAAGCAGCTCTATTAAACTACAGATTGCACAACTCTTAGTGTGTTACATTTTTCCTTTAAATGCTGCTTTCCCACTCCAGGATTAAAGTGGGCCTGATCAGCAACCAAACTAAAGAAGGTCTTTATGTATTTTTCCACTTAGAGATTAATTTTTGCTATTAGAGAGCAATATGGGCAACTTTTAAAAATTAATGGTGGCAATGTTCCTATTTTTCTGAAGATCTTCTCCTGAAACATACTAGCCAACTGAAGATATTAAAGAAATCCATATTAAAAAAAAGTTTTGACAAAAATGTTCCAAATTTAATCATATTCTATTAATTTAGTTAATTATTTATTATATCTTCTGAAGGTGCAAAAAGAGGAAAGTAATGCTGTGTTTATGCTTGTTGTATTTCAAAGAACAGAAGGTGATGTACAGTCCAGAACTCTTCTCTGGACCCTTTAGTAGCCCTTGAGCTACTATAATGGCAAGTAGGAATGGAAATATCTTCATGGGTCTTAGGTGTATCTATCACATAAAAGACCACAATGACAAACATTTTTACAAATTTTTCACTTACTGTAGGACAAACTCTTACTGTTAACATACAAATTTACCAGAAGAGGCTTGCTAGACTTCAATCAAAGGAAAAAGCACTGCATTCCACACAACATTCCAAGTTTCCTCTCAAGCTCATTAAGCAACCCCATATTGATTAGCTCCACAATACTTCCGTTGTTACTGGCAACTGCTGGTAAGCAACAGGCAAAATTCACAGTAAATACCTTCCTCAAGGTGAATGCCCCTCCTCTTTATCTCTTTTTCCCTTCAAGAAGCTGGAATGAACACAAGATTGCTTCCATTTCCTATTCCAGTCTTTGCATCATTTTTTAGCTGTTCCTTATTCCTGAAAGTGTCTTTATTCCTAGCATATACAAATCTTTCCCCCTCCTCATTCAGATCACTTGTAAAGGCTCAGGTTTATAGCAGGAGCTTTAAACACTAATTCAGGTCAGTCAAAAGCCTTCTCCATCACACTTATACATTCAGCAAGAAAAAAATTACCATTATGACACCAGTGATGGAAAAAATAATTGTCCTTTAAAAGTCTCATATATGGTGGTCTCCTAATGTGTTTTATCTTTCTAGTTTCTCATGTGGAACAAAATACACTGCTAGTACCAGATGATAAAGTGTACAAATATCAAATAATACCTTAGTTGGAACTAAGAAGAAAACATTTATTTGAGGTTATGACATTAGTTCTCCATCAAAGCTTAGAGGTGTTCAGAAGGGAAAACATGGATAACAACTGATACAATTTTCAGCCATTTAACATGAACAGAACCTGAAGATTATCTTGGTTTCAGATTAACTGTCCTAAAAAAATACATAAATGTAAAATATTTAGCATACTGAAATGAAATGAATCCCAAAAGACAACAATAAGACAACAGATATAGCACTGTCAGATAAAACTAGTGGACCATCTTGCATAGACAAAATGAAAATGAAACATTTAAAGGACTCACCGGAGAAGAACAGTTTGAAACAACGTGAAAAATGTTAACAAAATGTCAGTGTAGAAACTGGTAAGGACAAGTAGTAACTGTTTTAATGGAAAATTCACCTAGAGAAAACATTTAGCTTGTGGTGACACAATCTGATAAATTTTTTACTAAAACAACTTGCAAAAAGTGGGTAAAGGTTCAGAGTCTAATGCAACACTAGCTCAGAATAGTCTATGCAAAGAGTGACATACATTTGGCATGCTGTCACCTCAAGAAGCTGCTGCAAGACTTGAGCTGTTTCCTCTAACAGAGCATGCTAAATCTCTCTCAGCATCATACTGAGTAAGCAGGGTATGAAATCAGAGAAGTGTGAAGGCAGTCTACAATTAAATACTATTCTATTATTCCTGTGATTTGGAAATGGAGGGAAGGGAGCAGGAGAATCATCTGCAAGTGGAGGAGGTAACTTTCCAATTGCTACTGGAAGGACTTCTAAAGGTAAAGAGGAAGACTTCCACAGCGGATGTCAACAGTTAATACAAAACAAAAAAGTGGAAAGGAACCACAGAATAGCATTACTGTGTAGGAAGTTTTGCTAGTAACCTTGGATGCTTACAAGTGGAAAAAGACTACTAATTAAAACCCCAATTAGGCTCTTCTAGGAGCAGGTACAGAAACCCAACTGAACCAGTCAGACAGGCTGTATGAAATTATCAAGAGACGGAAACAGCAGTAAAATCAGAGAAACAATTTAATTTCAAGTGCATCTACCTTTATTCAAATTTAGCATATTTTTGGACAATTGCCTGAACCAGCCTGGACAAAATGGCTTGTATTTAATCCTGTGCCACTCTTCCAGCTTATCTTTGGTAAAAATCCTCCAATTCCAGCAACAGACACCTTGTGTGTTGTGTGAAAACTAAAATGCCTTCATATTATTATTTTAATGTAATAAAATAACACATAAGATAAAAAACAAATTGAGAACATTCAGAGAATATTCTCAATATTCAGAATATTCAGAGAAAATTCAGCATAATAGGCAATTATTATGCAGATTGTTAACAGTTTGTTTTTTATTGATAGCATTAACAACTTGTTGCAAAGAAGCATTAGGATTGGAAAATGACACCTGTATGGAAAAGCTTGAAAAATAATTTATTTACATATTGAATTATGATTTGATGCCTGCAAATTCTGTACTGGACCTCATAAATAAAATCAAATTCTGACAACAGCTATCACAGGTGCTAATGCCAATAAGTGAGATGCAAAGAAGTTACTAAGATACACAACTGCCTACTTCTCACAGAGTTCAAAAGCTAAATGTAGGAATCAAGACAAATGTTACAGATGTAAGGGTCCATCTTTTACATCCCAACTGCCCTGAGTAATTCTCCACAGTGTGTAAAAAAATACTGATGGTGCAAATAGCAACACAATTATTACAGACGCCTTTCTATATGATTTTTAATTATTATTTTTAGGAAACTTTATTTTGAGTATGAGCCCAAAATAAACTTCCTATTCTCCCTTAATTAAAATGTTTCAACAAAACAAAAGTATAACAACTAACTTCACACACAAATGTAGAGGATGGATGAAGGGATGGTTTCAGGAATCCTGTCCTTACATAGGCTGCATCAGAAGAAAATCAATATTACCCTTAATTTTAATGACAAGGTCAAGATGTTAACAGGAGTTCTATAAAAGCACTGGAAGTACAATAAACAATTAACAAAGTCAGAACTTACTTCATCCAGTTCTGACAAAGGATCAGTTCCCAGATTTCTGGCTAAAATCAAGCATGGTATAGTATGGATCCCTTTATGCTCTAAAAATAAATGCCCCTGAAGTTAATGCTATACCACAACCATCAAAGAGAAGACATAAAAAAATTCCTTCCAAATATCAATAGATATGTACATGGGATTCCTGTTATTTTATTTTTCTTATGAAAACTTAACAAATGACCCATCACAAAATACTTCTAAAGTTCGGGCCACTCAGTGCAACTGTGGTATAGAAAAATTTATTTCATCAAATAATTATTAATATAATCACATCCATTTAGAAGATGGTTATGAATAATACGGAACTCCTAAAACACTTCATAAATGTTCACAAGATCCTCAAAAGTAAAATATGAAATATCCAGATTTAACACAGCTTCACTGAAAAGGTAGTTCAGTTAATTTCAGTTACTTCAAATAATACACTTGTCAAAAACTTTGCTGGGCTGCCACCACCTCACCCTAATACACACTTAAACCAAGCAAAAATCTCATAAGCCAAGACAAAAAATGTGAATGAAAATAAGCAATAAGTG